AGGCGTGTTATTTTGTAGTTTGTTTGGCGCTAGTAGCTCAACGTTTGTACGTCGTGGCCAAACTTCCTATTTAAACCTCTGAAGGTGCCTGCCTTTATTGTGTCCTCGTTGTCTTCTTGCTATTCGTTGCAGGCACAGATAAATCCCTCAGTGCTACACTCCGTCCTCCTGCATTTCTTCTATGCCTGGGACTCTGCTCTTGGCGGACTGAACACCTCTTGCTTCTCGATAAATCTGGTGCAAGCCCTCCTGCGGGACTTGGTCCCTCTGGCTAATCAGTCGGCCAGTAATGGAGTTGCAGGCAATGCCCCCGTCCTGTCTCCCATCTCCGTTTTTCTGTTGACCAAGTCAGTAATTTGATTATTTGAACCGCTTTCTTTTTCTGCGCAATGCAACCACTTTTTGCCAATAATGGGACGCACTACCACCAGATTAACGTATATACAATACCTACCCACTGTATTTAAGTAGTCTTGTTTTTGACATTTGCTTGGTAATAAGTTGCGAAAAGGATTTGGGGTTTAGGTTTGCAGTTGGGGGTTAGAGCTGGAGTTGGGGTATCAGTTAGATGGTTTGCATAGGCCTCAACTCGTTTTTGCAGCCTGTTTTCATGTTCTATTATGCATGTACTGTTTATCCATATGTACACAATTTTGTGTAATTTTTGCCTTTTTTGTAGAATCTTCAGTGAAATCATCAGTGCTTTGTCAAACAACGACGAGAAGCGCGATCAAAAGGAACTTCAGGTACAATATACTGCCTTTCTTGACTTTGAAAAGCGTACCTCTCCTTCTCTACTCCCTTGAAATTGTTGGGTTTTTGCTCACATCGCATCACATATGCTCTTCTGGAATGCCCTCATTTGGCGAATTAGGCTAGACTTATTCAAGTACTCTTGCGAATAGAGGCGAAGGATAAACTACATACGCTCCTAACCCATATGAAATGTTAATCGATTGGAACGTATTTCTTTCGCTGCGCTGAAATACTAGGCAAAATTGTAGTGCCCCTCTAGATATCTATCGCCCCTGCCCAACTGCTTATAGTATTTTGTGGTCAAACACTTAATTCTTGGCTAGTGAGCGTAAATTAATATGTAATTGTGGCAGCATTCAACAAAAAATAGTAAATTAAATAGGTTTATGTTTGTTTTAATGTGCTAAATCGAAACAAATTCAACCAACAGAAACTTCTGTTGCGCAGTTTACGAATGCTAATCGAGGGAAATCTTACCTTATTAGGCGGAATATAACGAAAATAGAAATTCGTCCTCCTATTGGTGGAATTTAACGAAAAAATTTAAAGTCCGGCTACTGAACATTTAAAGGCAGTTTTTTTAATTTTAAGTCGACGGGATTTTTGGGGCCTCTAAAATCAATTTTGCCAAATACTAATTAGCGTATAACCTAACCACGCCAGAATGTTAGCCCCTGATCAAACTGTTTTCCGATCCCCTGCGAAAACAAAACTTTTTAAGAAAAAAAACTACCTAAACAGTATGCACTTTTTCTGTTAGTCTTTACTACCTATAACGAGTGAGTTCCGATAGAGCAACCGTTGATTAAAGTTCACCGATCGCTAACTGTCAACCATATCCATATCGATAATCAGCCGCCAGGGGGCTCAATCTTTATTGCAGCCTCAATGGAGGCGAAAGAGTGACCACACAGCCTGTGCCGATGCACACTCTGCCTGTTTTTACACCCCGCTATAATCCTATGTTTCACATTTCTGCTGGAATTAACTTTTGATCATTGTTTTTTCTCTCCATCCAGGAAGTTTGTCAGCGTCTACTCGAGGCAAACGCCTCCATTGCTGGCTCAGGTCTGGATCAGGGCAATTGGTTGCGCCGAAACATGCGCAGCCCGTTGAGCGGTCGCATAATGGACGCGGACCACCCGCTTGGCTCGGTTTTGAAGAATCGTCTTGCTGGAGCCATTCGTGCCTCCTCCCTGCATATGTCCCACTCGGATGCTTCTATCCCCGAGACTGCCAAGGGGCGTTCTAAATTAGTGCCTCTAGTTAGTTCGCAAGAAATCCTAAAAGGTAAGGTTTCACATTCGTCTGTCGGCTGGTTGTATGAATACTAGTTTTGGATAAGTTAAGTAGCTTGCATTCCGAGATGATATAATGAAAGGGAGGAAGGACTTCAGGAAATCGTGTTGTACGCGTAAACTTTCGGGCAGATGTTTGTATTTGCCCTGGTTCGACATGCCTAATCCGTCTAATGAAGGAAGCCCTTATTGGCTCGCGTGCTCGACTTGTCGGTTGTTTTCTTGAACAGTTTGAATTTTTAGAGGATTCCCCAGGGGTGTTGCCTAGCTTAAGCCTTTGTACGTTTCCTTAAGTGTGGGAGACTGTAACTGTTGACGCCGGCTTTACCGTTCTTGTCAATAAACACTGATTTTGCACATTTTCTGTTTTAGATCGATCGGACAGAATTGAGTCAGATTTAATTGTCGCCTATCGAAACAATATCACGGCACATTCTCTGCAACTGCTAGCAGAGGTAAGTTAGTTCCCTTTGCCCTACGCGGGCGACGCAAATGCCAACCTTTCAACCAGTCATCTAATATATTGAAATATTTGCATCCCAAGATATTAGTTATGAGAATAAGAATTTCTTTGGG